GGGAACAAATACAGTACTTTGCATGTTAATTTCATTTTTGGGTTAACACATTGGATAGTGTTTAAATCAGTTTTAAGTAAGTGTTTACTACTACAAAGCATGACACAGTCTCAATTTTTTTCTTTAGATCACGTTAGTTAATTCATTGCAGATGCATTACATGAGTAATTCACATTCTAAAAGTCTAAAAACACCACCCATAAGTACTAATTGGTAATAAACATTTTGTGGTTTTTTGTTTTTTTGTTTTTTTTTTGTACTGGGGATTGAACTCCGATCTTTGCGCTTGCAAGGCAGGCCACCAAACTGCTGAGTTAAATCCCCGGCCCAATGCTTTTGGTTTTTTGTTTGTTTGCTTGCTTGAATAATAACAATTTTTGGAAAATATATCTGCCTTGAAATGAGACACCACTTAAATTGTATTTCTCCAAGTCTCTAGATTTAGAGGCAATATGAAGTGGTTAAGGGGCTACTGGGATTCAAATCCTGAGTATGCTTCTTCCTTCCTGCTGTATGTACTGTGGACAAGTATCTTAGTTCTCCCTGCCTCAGTCCGCCAAGTAACAAAAGAATTTATCTCATAAGGTTGTTAGGTTGATTAAAAGGATCCATTCATGTTGAGGCCTCCTATGATAATTGGTGCATTGTGAGTGCTACAATCCGAATGTTTGGATCCATTGCCAATTCATATGTTGAATTTTAATTTAAAAGGTGATGATATTGCAAATGGGACTTTTGGAAGATGACTAGGTAATGAAGGCAAGCTCTTCATAATTGATTATTGTGCTTATAAAAGAGACTGTATATTATCATTGTTCTATAGGACTGTGTATATCAGCCAGTCCCTTGCACTCTGTGTGAATGGGGTGAGAAGACACTTTCTATGGACCAGGAATCAGAACCTTACCAGATCCAAATTTGGCAACAAATTACTCTTGAACTTCTCAGTCTCCGAAACTGTGAGATATAAATTTCTGTTTCAAAAACTACCAAGTTTGTGATATTTTATTATAGCAGCCTGAATTGACTGATTAGACAGCAAGCTACTCAATATATGCTAGATGTTAGTTTCTTCACTTTCAGTGCTTCTAACACACTGCCACGAATTTACTGCATAGAGCAACGGTGACAAGCCATGCACATGCTCAAAAACACAAGATGCTTCATCATATATATATGACAATGTTAAACACTGTCCAAATGTTGACTCTGTGTAACTTTTTGCTCTTTTCACCCTTCTATCTAATGCAGTTCCAACCTCCTTTAAAACGAAGCTCAGATATTTTTCTCCACCGATGAGTCTTCTCAGATCAAATATATTAGACTTAATCACTCTTCCTCCACAATATACCCATTGCACAATATACTCATTGTGCATACTGTGCCCCATTTGATAGATTATAACTTCCAGAAGAGCAAGGTCTGTGTCTTTCCAATTTTGTGTCCTATGTAACACCCACGAGAGAATTTTACATTTAATAGACACTCAATAAATGGCTGTTAAACTTAGTTGAACCCACATTTTTTCCTTTGTGGTAGATGCCCCAAGAAAAACATAAAATAAATGAATTACTTTTCTTCTTCCCATTGCAATGCATAGGCCCTGGGCTAGTGGGTATTTGCAAGCCCAGTTAGGAATTTGGGGAAGTCATGAATTTAAGAAAGGAAAAGAAATGCATTTTAAATCACAAGAGCAATATAGCCTTATTTAAGGCCTCCTAGCAAAGCAATTATTGATGGCTCCATAACCCAGATGCTGGGGTTATTATAAACAAAACTCTGAGATTGAGAGACAATGAGTTATCTTAACTTTTATATTCCATAGGTACGCAATTAAATGAAACATGTACAGATGGGAAAGTTTAGATCTGAGAATCATATGTGGGTATCATAATACAAATAATTCATTTTCTTTCTAAAGAACATCTGTTGAAACATCTGAAAGCAGTTGTTTATACTACTGCCCAAATGCTGAAAAATATAATAATTCTCCAATGGGTTTAGCAATATCCAGGGGAAGAAAAATGGTTTTTATGTAGTTCTGCTTTTATTAAATCTTGTTTCTTTAATATGACACATAGGAGATGTTCAATAATATTAGTTGACTGAATGTTGAATGAAAAGCAGAAACTCATTAAATAGTTGTTGAATCAATTGTTTTTTTGGTTAGAATTATAGGTACATTTTTAGAAAATAGTATTTCCACAAAATTTTATCATGTCATATACCATTTTTATTTGGCATTAATTTAAGTAATGCTACCTTGTTCTGTACGTTGTAGAATAATCAGTGTATATCTATCTATCTATCTATAAAAGAAAAAATCTTACCACTATACCAAATCCATAAATTAAACTAGATATATGACAGAAGCATTTAGTATCTTAATATGCTACTTTGATTTATGATAATAAAATGTAAATTTTGAATTATAAACTAACATAATTGCTTTAACAAATTAAAATTTAAACTCCTCCTAATATCTATAGTTATAGTATCTCTAAGAAGATTATAATAAGATATGAGATCATCTGAATGTTCTGAGATGTGAAGAAAATAGCTGAAGATGAAGATGCCATTTCTCCCTATTCTCCCTCTCTTGCATTTCTAGTGCTTCTTTCTTCCATAGTCCCATGTGAATGAGGTGACTGAGCTCCCAAAGGCTGCCCACATTTCACTCTGCCAAATTTCAGTGCAGAAAGAGCATGTTAAAAAATTAATGGAGTTTGAGTGTAACTAATAAAATTGGAATGTTAAATAGCATCATGCTTGCTTTTGAAATCCAGCCTCCTTATGAGGATGCTCCCTGTGCAAGTCCACAGGGAATAATTCTGAAGGGACTGGTAGTAATTAGTAATATAGTTTATCTTCTGGAAGCCCTTTCCTTTGATGGCAGCCATGGTACAGCTCAGAAGGCTCCAAATGAGAGCTCAAAGAATATGATTCAAAGCACATCAGCTTTGTTTTTCATCCTTGAACAGATACAACAGTCAAATTTATTTCTATATATCTGAATTATATGCATCCATCTATGTAATGGAAGATTATGAGTGACAAAAATATATTTATGTAAATGTTGAATGAAATAATAATGTGCTTGTAATAGAATTTAAGGAAAATAGAGCAGAATCCAACATTGAATGTGTAGCTTCTGATCCCAGATTTCTTAGTTTCCATTCTTTGCCCTATATCAGTTATGTAACTTGACAAGGTACAGGGTTCAAATCCTGATTCTGCTACTTCCTAGTTGTATCAGTCAATGTTTACTAGAGAAACAGATTTAATGCAAGATATACAAATATATTAGAATTAACAAGGTTGTCTTACAATGGCCACCCACAGTCAGGTGTGTAAAAATGCAAAAAGGGTGTCTATGTGCTGGAGATCACAAGGATCCAGTTGAAGCACTAGAGCTCACTGGAGTGCCCCATAGAAGTCCATATCAGGAAACTGAAAGTCTGAGATGGAAGGCTAAAGGGTCTGTGCTGGAAGCCAGGAGAGCACATCCAAGCTGAAGGTGAAGACTGGATCTTCTCTGAAGAAACAGAAGGGAGTCTCCCTTCTTGGGTTCCTTCTTATTCTATTCAGGCTGGAAGCCTATTGGTTGCTGTCACTCATACTTAGGATGGGTCTTCTGTCTTCAGTAAATCCCTTCAGCCACACCAACGTTAACTACCACACTAGTCATTGTATACCTCATGGACAAATTACTTAGCTCTCTCTGCCTTAGTCTTGTAATTATTAAAAGCACTGATCTCATAGTATTATTGGTTGATTAAAAGGTACATAAAAGTCTCAGAGGATGAATGAATTGAATTTTTCATTGAATTTAATTTGTACATTGATTTGTTCTGTGCCTCAGTTTCTTCAACTATACTATGAAGATAAACAACAAAGTTCTTCGAAAAAAGGATATATGTGGACTGGGAATTTAGCTCAGTGGTTTTGCCACCTGCCTCACAAGCACAAAGTCCTGAGTTCAATCCTTGGTACCAAAAAAAAAAAGGATATTGGCTTCTCAGAATAGTACTTGGTAAATACCAAATCCATTATGTTTTATAATAATGACCATTATTATTGTTTTAAACGTGAATATTATAATAGTATTATTTCTTCACTATAATTTCAAGTTTTATAAACAAAAACTGTTGAATAAGTAGAGTTGCCTGGAAGGCAATAGTCAAAACTTCATTACTATTTGCTTCTGTATATTTTTATGGGTATTTATTTTTCCTCTTCATTACATTTTTCATATGTATTCTTTTATAAGAAAGTTTAAAAAAATTAAATTTCATGCTGAAATGACTTGATGAGGATTATGATAGAAGTCTAGATTAGGTTAAAATTTGTAACTAATTACACTGTAGCATTAATGAAATATTAATTAACCCCATTGTCACATGACAAAAATTTTACATTTTGGTACCTTATTTTACTTGATTCTAAATACTTTGAACCTGAAATTACTTTTTAAAGTTTAACCATTGTGAGTTTCACAGAACTAAAGTCAGATACTTATTACAATGTCAATATTGTGACCTACTAAAACTAAAAATATTTTATTTTTTAATTAAAAAAAAAATCTCGTGCAAAAGTCCCAAAGGTGCCTTTCATATTTAAGCTTTAATTAGAAACCACTTTGGTTTCTGACACATATTGCGCAGATATTGAAGCGTTGATATTACTCCAGCTTGATTACAAAAGGCAATGATTAATTTTAAAGCAGACAAAAAAGATAGGCCCTGATTACAAAGGAAATGATTAAGGCGAATGTCAGACATTGCACATTTATAGCAGTCTTTTACCATTATCAAAGAATAAGACTTTAGAAAAGTTTATATTTAGCAAGCGGGATACTTTGTACTTATAATACTTGAAGACTGGGCACTACAATTACAATAAGGATTAAAGACTGAGTGGTCTGGTCATAGCAAAGCCTAGCGGCCTCAGAATTGGCCCAAGGCGCCACCATAGTTTAAAATCTCGCGATGCCAGACCTGACCTGGGGCCGGGCAGGAGTCTGAGGGAAAGTTTGCGGCCTGAGGTAGTGACGGAGGGTACCTACTTGCTGAGAGACATTGTACTTTGAGAATCTTATTCCTAAGGAGGGAGAGGTCAGGCGGGAAGAAAAGGCTGACTGTGAAAAGGTCTGCGACCCTGACCGGGTCAGGGCTTGGGTTTTTGTTACTAGAGCAGAAACAAGCCAGAGAGAAGCCAAGATCTGGTCTCTCGGAGCTGCGTTCCAGCAGGGAAAAAGGCAGAACTCGAAACTGTTGTATGCGTTTGTAAATTGTGTCGGGGGCGGACGGGGTTGGGGGTGGGGGCAAATAAAGCCCTTCGTTGGCCTCTCCAGACCCTCGGGGCCCTGACTCGGTTCTAGGAGTGCTCCGCGCTCGGCGAGGGCTGGGACAGGAGGTGAGGGACAGCTAGCTGGGAATAGTCATAGCAGAATCCTTCTGACTGTGCTTTGTAGGACCCTCAGACTTGGTTATAAAATATTAAACAGCGAAAAAAGGATCCCCAGGAGCCCGGGCCGAGATGAGTTTAGAGTCCTTGTTTCAGCACATCATCCTCGCCGAGCATCAGGCTGAGGAGAGTCGACGGATGATGCGAGAAGGTCGGGTGTTTTTGGTCTTTCGCTTGGGGCTTTGGTCTTCTCTAGCTGGGTGCTTGGAGCAGAAAGAAAAAGCCCAAAAGGTAGTGGTCAGAGCCATAAGGGAAATTTACTTTTCACACCTGGGGAAAAACACCTAAAAAGTGTCAACCAGACTGAGCAAAACAGAGTCTTCACAAAGATTGATGTTTAAAGATTTAATTTGTATTACAGTTAGGTCAGAAATGACCAGATGTCGTGAAAAAATTAAGAAATTAACAGAGGAGCTGAACGAAGAGAAAATCAAATTGGAATTTAAGGTACTGAAGTACAGAGCATGCTAAATATCACGTAAAAAGTCTTTCTGAACTTGGCTTTTTGGAGGTATTTTACTCTTTAACCACTTGTTCTTCAGCTGTGAAGCACAGAACTTCTATGCTGGTTAGTGTAGTTTTGTATTATCTCCTAATAATTAGAGTTCTAAATCTGGTGAAAGCTTCAGTTCTACTGTGAACTTTCCTTAAAAAAAAAAAAATTAAGTAACGGAGAATTCATTTTGTGGAATGATTAAAAGAGCACAATGTCATTGGAAGAGTAATTGTTTAATAAGTAGTTGGCCCAGTATATACATTTTGAATAGTAAATAATTTATGGTATGTGGATGTAATGGATTTGATGTAATTTTCAAGTGAGTCTCTGCCTTTTGGTTTTCAATTCTCTACCAGATTTTGGACAGGTCTTTCATCCAAAGTATATCACTAGCATTTCCCTCTTTTCTGCAGCTTTTATAAAGTTTTTTTAATTTTAAAAATAGAAACGAGAGTCTGGTGGCTTCTTGAAGAGAGATTTTGAAGAGTGAGTAGAGTTATGGGGAACAAAGAAGTAAAGGGAAAAAAAACGTGTGGCAGAGGGAAGAGGCAGGTCTGTCCCAGGCATATTGCAGGAGGAATCAGGTTAAAAGCAGAAGGCTGATAATCTGGGAATTAGAGGAAACTTGGCGGTTTTTGATCAGGTTGTGGCATGATAAAGTAGTTTCAGGAAGATCTCTCCGAGTTCTGATTGGGAGAAAAAGAATAGATAGGAAACTAAAAGCATTTAAGTATATCACAATGAAGGCCTCACTAGGGTATGAACAGACAGTTTTTCAAAAATATTTGTTCACTTAAGGATGAACTACGTGAGTAGTATGCAATGGGAACTCTGAGCAAGTCTGTTTATTTCATGTATATTTTAGCTTACTGCTTTGGAGAATTTTCAGTTTTGTGAATGAAATAACCCTAGAATCTCTCCATCTTTTGAGCTTCAGGTCTTTGTGCTATGTCTTTTTCAAACATCACCATAAAGCTCTCTCTGGATGCCTTGGTAAAATTATTTTATTAAACAACAATAATACTTGTGTTTGTAAACCACATTATTTTGTGAGCACTATATTTAGAAAAATATTTACCCATTTTTATTCTCATTGTGTACATTGCCTAGTATATGTATACATTAGTGTATACAATGAACTAGTGATTATTAATAGTGTGATAGATAATGAAAAAGTATAGTCTGGTTTAATTGACACATAAAATTGTATCTATTAATGTTATGTTTCTATACATTTTGTAGTGCTCAAATCAGGGCAAGCATATCTATCTTCTCACATCATTTCTTTGTGGTAAAATCATTCAAAATCTGGAAGCTGATATACAGTAAATTATTGTAATCTATAGTCACCCTGCTGTGCAGTGGAACACCACAACTTACTTCTCTCATATAACTACGACTGCATACCAGTTGACCAACATTTCCTCACTTCTCCTGACCCACTAAGAGGGATTGGTACATTTTGAAATAGAATTTAAAATATTGTTGGGTGGAGACCATACCTTGTCTTTTGCTTGTGAATGGCAGATATACTAGCTGCTACCAACAGTGCCAAAAGCTGGTGGGGTTTACAAAATATAAAGCCATGATGTAGCTTTCTTTTCCTTGAAAAAATTAATATACTTTCAGACCTACTAATAAGAAGGTAATAGAATAGGCAAAATGTATATAAGTAGGTCATGCATAGCTAACAGGTATATTGGTACTTACCTGCTGGGCATCGTTATAAATGCTTCCCTTATATTAACTCCTTTAATCCTGATAGGAAATATGTGATTAAACACCATACTTTTCCTCTCTTTGTAAGTGAGGAAACTGAGAGGTAAAATGACCAATGTTCATCATATATAATTTTAAGACAGGCTACCATAATGAAAATAATAGTTGAGTGATGACAGCATGTTTTATTAAAACAGATTTCTTGAGCTTTTTTCTTCATGACATATAAGGATACATCTGAAGCTTTGGATCTGGGGCAATATTTTTAAAAGGTCACTTATGTAATGTTTTGGTATAAAATGCGTTTTTCCTGGATTGTTGAAGATAGTGACTTGACAGATAACAATTTCTTTTAATAAAATGCTTGCTCTTTGTAATACTCTCTTTGTAAAATAATGTTTTCTCCTTGTAATATTTTCTTTGTTGTTAGGTTATTTTGCTTGAAAATGGAAATATAATTTGTTGATATATACATAAAAATGTTGATTCAATTGTTTGTATTAGAGAGGAGACAGAGCAAATCTCTAATATTGTTTAGAAACGTTTGCTGAAATTACTAATTAATATAGCCTCATAAATGTGCATTGCTTTTTAATCAGCTCAGATACATGGGTTATAATACTATTGTATCTTACTAATAAAATTAACATATGAGGGTCACAGTTCATGCAACACTAATTTGTAATTGAAATAATTTGATTTATAATTATAGTCAAGATGATATGTGTGTGTTTATAAAGATTTTAAAAGTGGAACTACAATTATAATGTAAATGACTAATGGGAAGAACTAAAGAAGTAATCATAAATTGATTTCTTGTTTCTTTTATTCTCTGAGTTAATTATATGTCTGCCTATAACAATGAAAATATATTTACTTGAATATTTGACTTGGCATTTATTGACCCATTTATCAAGTGGAAGCAGCCTAAGGAGAAACTAGAACATAATTTGAATAGAAGAGTGCTTGAGCTGTTGTACAGTTGTATATTTGGAAATATCTGGAGCATTTATTTTGGAGGCTTTTTGTGGTCAAAAATGTATTTGGGATGTACAGTATTTATTTTTTCCTGTTCTGTAAAACTCAGGTAGCATGTAATTAGAACTTGAATGATAGCACTTGCTTTTCAGGGCTCAATGGATCCTTTAAAATATATGGTTGCAAAAGTCTCATTATATAGTATGAATACTTTGTGAATTGGACAGCTACAGTGTGCCTGGTTAGGTTTGGTAATGTGAAAAACAGGAAGATGAGAACATGCCATGGTTTTGCATTAATGCTTACCAGTACAGCTAAAGACTGCTAGTCAAGGAAGGGTTTTATAGCACCAATAAGAGAGCAAACCAAAATTAAGGATGCGCAGAATAATTATATCTTATTTTAGGCATCTAAGAGTTTCTTCTATTTAAAAATGGTATATAATTGTAATTTGGGCATTTAATTTTTATAAACATATGACATAAAACCAAATATAATACCATCCTCCCATAAGAGTGAAAATTTGGGCTATTTTGTTCATTTTATTTCTTCCAATTTAACTTACTACATAAATAACATCTTAATACATAAATAACATAATAATAATATTTTATAAATTTTAAAAGAAAATGATATTGAAATGAAGTAACTGAAGATAGCTCCTTTTACTTTTTTACTTCAAAATGTCCAATTTTTAAAAAATTGATAAAAGTTAGGAACTCCCCCATAACAGCAAGTAAAGTCATATTCTTTAGTACTATATTACCTTAGGGAAGAACAAAACCACAAAATATTATATTTTATAATACGGAAAGGAATCTTGTAATTGAGGTGGTTTTTTTCTTTACATTTTAGCAAAGAAGAATTTATATCTGCCTCATTATTTCACTTTATTATTGATTAAAAGTTACTTAAAAACATGGATGAAAGGACATTATTTCTCCCCTCTACTTAACATTTGTTTAAATAGCATGTGAGTTGTTTAATCTCCATTTTAGAAAACAAAGTGGAAATTCTATTTTTCAAAATATAGTACATCACTGTTTTTATATCAGTTGTGACCAAGAAAACTTGAAGAACAGTTACAATTTGTTGCTTACAGTGTCTCTATGATTTCTTCACAGGAAATTCCTTTATGCCAGTTGGCTTAAAATGTTGAAACTCCCCAAGGAAGCAGAAGGGAGATGGTATCTGGAACATGACCAAATTAGGCTTACTTAGGAGGAGGGATAGTTCTTGTGCTCTAAAAACTAAAAATAATAGGTAACATTTAATTAGCAATTCTATATATCTGTCCTTGTACTGAGCATTTTATAAATATTTATCTCAATTCTCACAAAGGTATTATTGTTATCCCCATTTACCTTTGATAAAATCGACTCAGAACTAACCAGCATGAGGTCATGTTAGATGTTAAGTAGCAGATCTGAGATTTGAAACTATATTGTTTGATTAGAGAGCTCTCAGCTTTACCCCCTATACTATAGTATAAAAAAAAAAAAAAGAAAAAGGAAAAGTAGAGAGTAGAGATGCAAAGAAGTTTGAAGAATTAGTGACAGAATATTCAGGACATGATACACTAAAAGTTGTCTTTTAGCTTTATTATGTCAAAAACTTTTATAAGAATTGTATGTGTCCATTATTTTAAAAAAATATTTAAAATGTGCCATTTATTTATTTCTCTGCTTTATCCATTGTGTAGCTTTATATAAACAAGGCAGTGCAATTCTTTTGGAAAGGTTTCCCTGTAATTCTCTGTCTGTTTATTACTAAAGATCCCCATCGGCCAAGAAGCTGGTTAGGGTGAATAATATATAGTCCTTGCCCTTGAGGTACTTAGTCAGAGGAATTACCTATTCCTTAGAAAGGAGGCTCTGTCAGCTTAGGGTTCTCTTCATTGCCAGTAATAGAAGTTCATTTCAAAGTGGCTTAAACAATATCAGGCAAACACTGACTTACATAATTGGAAACACAGTAGTTGATTTGACATTTTTATGATTTATAATTGCATCAGGTTTCTTATAACGAAAATCTGGTCATGGTGGCTTTACCAAATAAGGTTTTTGGTTTGTTTTTTTTCCATATAATAGAAAGTTTGAAGGTGGCCATACAGGGGCACTGTTTTACAGCTGCTCCTAGAAGACCCCAGCAATTTTATCGCTTTTTTTTTTTTTTTTTAGATCGTAAGCTTTATTATACAAGGAAAACTATGTAATGCATCAATTTTCATATTTGTTTTGATGCTTTAATTCTT